GGAAAACAACCGGAGGAAGTGAAAATATTCACTGCACAGAATACAAGAACGAAGGAAACTGCAGTTAAGCGTCCCATTCACAAATTAGTAGCATGCTTCTGTCCAGGCTCGACAGTTTCCCCTCTTCATCCGTTTTGCCTCTCGAAAAGAGTGGAACCATGCGATTATAGAAGAAGGAGGTCGAGCAGACACTGTGCAGCCTGAAAGGCTTGTCGGGTAAGATAAAGATGGTTCCAAAATTGTCAGTAATCCTGTCTTAAGCGATGGGCCTTGCAATCGTTTTAGGACAAAAATGATGGGATATATTTTATCCTCACCACTTACCCCCTACTAATGCATCTGAAGAGATTGTGGTTGGCCTAGAAGCGAATGCAATCCGAGCACATCCGGTTAAATGTTTGCTTGCAACATTTAACGAAAAATGACATACTAAGTAGATAGAAAGTCACAATGGGCTTTCTTCTAGTGGAAGCACGCACTGTGGTAAAATATTTGGTTGGCTCGTACATTTATATGTTAAAGTGAGATAGGTTAAGTAGGGTGGGTTATTGCTGTACTTACCTTCTTTTTCTTTTCAGAACCGGGTTTCAGCTCACGAAAACTGCTGTATAACTGGAAAAAAGCGTCGTGTTAAACGACTGAAAAATGCTCTTGCCGCGCATCTAATGACGAATGCTCATCATTTCATCAACGTATACTCAAGTGAGCCCCCTATATAAATACCAATGAGTGCTATAACAATTAGAAGGCGCAAGTGCATAGACAGCAGTGTTAACATAAACTATCGGGAGAAAAAGTAGGGCCATCGGTGTGGTCATTTCATGCAGTATGGGAAAACATGGAGCGACAAGTTCGATAAAAAACGAATACCTTGTGTCTTGATATTTTTTCTGTTGCCTTTTGGGGACCCTTGAATGCGTTCACCACTTTGCCTGCACCTTCATATACCGCTCGTTCTATGCCTAGTCGATACTTAAGCTCGGCCACTTCTTGTTGCCATGTGGTCGCATCCTGTCTGGGTTCCGTGAAAGTTGGTGACAACGTTCCCGAGGAGAATGGGGTAGGTGACAGTCCATCGTATCCATGAGGAAGCGGGGAGAGGACCTGGTCGGGCTAAAAAGCATTGAAGGCAGTTAGCCTAAGGAACAATTGGATACGAAATCGAGAACTATAAAGGAAATTTATAGAATTCTGGAAAGGTAAAAAGAAAAGAATAAAAATCCACAAAGTGAAAATTGACGACGATGCTGCCGATCGCAATGGGCTACCTTTGATAGGCAAATGGTAGCAAAACTGACGCCAAATATTGAATACGATAAGTTTTGAACAAAAAAACACAAACAAGAGTTTTGACATTCACCCGAAAACTGCGTGCCAATCGCTACAAAGAAAGAATGGTTGCTGCAAATAGTGCTTAGAAAGTGCTGCATACTATAGAAACAAAGACTTGTGGGACTTACAGACTCGTTTATGTGCTTTAGCCGGGCAAGCTGATTACGTAGAAAGCCAATTTTTGCCTCAGCCACCTCAACCTGTTTTTGAGCTGATTCCATGTAGATGCGAGGACCATCTTTATAAGTAGTGCGAAGTTTTTCAGCCCCATTGCGTAACTTTAATTCAAAATTAGAAGATGTGTTAATGCGGTACCTTGATTTCTATATCCAGGGCGTTTTGGATAGATTGTATTGCCTCCTTATTCAACTCAGAAGGAGATTTCTGTGAACTAAGGAGTTCTGGAAAGTTGAGTTATAAAAAAAGTGTCGTACCTTCAGGAAACCTGTGCCGCAAAATTAGGAGATTCGTTTCTATTTCACCGATAACTTCAGTTATGTCAAGTATCTGTGCATTTAACCGTTTAACCTCTGCACTAGGCTTGCTGCTTTTGCCTTTCTTGTCGTGCCCACCATTAGAGGATAGCTGTAATTTGTCTTTCAGCAGTTTCTGCAGTTCCAACTTTTTCTCGCCAAGAACCTTTTTTAGACTCTGGATCATCGAAGGCACATCGGATTCGGGCACCGAATATTCATCGGCGAGAGCCTTGAGAAATATATCACGCTCCTTCGGACAAATGCAAAGCACAAAAGACGGACTTACCATTTTGACTTAAAAAAATACAGAATCTGCTCGTGACTGTTGGAGTAAAATATTTAAAATAGACTGGCTAATTGGAATTCAAACAAGTTCAGGACATCGACGGCACATGCACAGTCAACGAACAGTCCAATAAGAAGTTCAGTCTGCGCGGTATTGCGCAACCGATCCCGGTCATGCAAAAAAACAAAACCACTGAAAGCGCTAATTGTTGGAGTGTTTTGGACAGTTTTTGGTAATAAACCGTCATTATATTATTTTCCACCCTTTAGAGGTCACCGGTAAGTCAATTATACGGTATCCAATATTGGGAGCCGTAACTGACGCTTTACCCTGTGGGCTCTTGGCCCTACTTATGTGTTGTTTAAATTTATCAATAACAAA